CATTAATATAATAAAGAGAATTACAATGATTGTCCTTTGTGGCAGTGTACACGAAATTAATGCTAGGGCTGGAAATTAATCCAGGGGTCATTCCTGTTATGTAGTACATTTTCAAAAGTTTATATTTGAATAGAAATATAAAATTGACAATTGTTGCAGATTAAAGTCATATTAGTTTTCTTTCATGACAGTATTACAATTAATAAACTAAAAAGCATAAAAAGTCAATTTATTAAGAAATATTCCAAGTGCTTTTCTTTCTTTATTCAAAATATTTAAACCAAACTTGGTTACATTGTTTATCTTTTTATCGATATTTCCTTTGTCTTCACTATTACTTTCCACACTGTTAATCTGCTGAAAAATCCCTTTAACTAACAAAAGCCAGTTCTTTAATGACACGATTGTCCAGGAAGTGACATTTTTGGTGGGAAATCATACATCATATACATGTTAAAGTATTAGCAATTAATTCAAAGAATCTGTTGATGTCTTGTGCTATTAGTTTGTCTTTAAAATATTCCTCCCTGTTGGACAAGATTTTTAAAAAATGGGTATGATAGAATCAAAATATCAAAACATGGTTAAAAATATCAAAATTAACTTGAGCTAACTATCGATCTGTAATTAAACAATTATTTACAATTATATAATTAACACCTTATGAGCCTGAGCTTAGCAGAACATATTTCTGAAATACTTAAAATTGCAACACAAGCATATTTATTTTTTTAAGTTTCAGAGTTCAAAATGTGTGGCATAACAGGAATGACCTCTATACAGCAAACAAGGAATGAAAGGCATATCCGTATGCATCCATATAGCATTTCCATATGGAACTCCTGTTAATAGTGCAAATGTAGTCACGTCCATACTTGGAAACATTATGAAAGTGCTCCTACAAAGAAAGTCATGCTCAAAAGTGTAACTGACGGCAGCAGAAAGGTAAGCACCTGAGTAAAAATGAAATATCAGACCATTCCCAAGCTGCTTTGCTCTGTTGTACATCATGGAGCTGGATTTGAAACAGTGGTCTGAACGTTGTCTTGCAGGAAGGCAGTGGGCAAGCTGAGTGCTACTGTGTCTCCTTCAGGACATGTGTCTGCAAGAAAGGTGTCCAGGGTGGAGTTCCCATGGGTGTCCTGGTCTGGGCCAGCCAGGGTAGGAGAGGCCATGGGGGTGAGGAGGACGGAGGTGGGACAGTCGGAGGAGACGTACCTGGCCAGCGCTTGCAGCTGTTCGGACTGTGGCGAGGCGTCCATACAGAGGCTCTGACAAAGGCCTGAGAGGTTCTGACGTACATCCTCTATGCCGAGCTTCAGCTGGTTGTGATCTTCCAGTAATTTCTCCTTCTCGATCCTCTGATAAATGTGGAAACAAAAAAATGAAAATTCTGTCATTAATTACTCACCCTCATGTC